TGCGATTAGCAGCATGCGAACATTTTGAGCTACCGCAACGACGGAAGTGGGTGATCCGTTTTCCCAAGCTACACTTTTTTGAGTGGCAGCACAGACAGCTATGCCCCAGTGACATTTTCCTGGGCGCTATGCAGCAAACCCTAGCAGGTCGTTAGAGCAGCGAGATGAGATCATCGAGTACAGTCACAGATGGCCTTGAAATTACCAGAGGGGCGCGGGCAGGCATCAGCAGACTACCTCGCAACGTTGTAACACGTTACTCGCAATGACTGCTCTCGTGCTGAGTTAGCTTTGTCTTGCCGAACCTTGCGTTCAGGCACAGGATCACGAAACCCACTTTCTGAGCGGCGCTCCCAACCGCGTTATATGAGATCGACGACTACCCACCGCCGACGCCGCACTCGTAGCCGATGTTGCTTCACTTTTTGCGAACTCAAACCCTAGCACGACCACTAATACGCCTTGTAGGATTACTTTGCTTCAGCAATCAACGTAGGTCGACCAAAGAAGGTTCTCCTCCAGTATGATGCTGCTGGCCGTAGCGTTGGCAGCGCAACCATCATTTTCAACAAGCACGAGCAAGCTGCCAAGGCTACTGCTGCTCTGGACGGTGTCAAGATTGACGGACGCCCTGTTCGCGTTGAGATGCTTGTCAGTCCTAGCGTAATCCCAGCTGCTGCACGCCCAGCTTCCCTCGCCGATCGCGTTACGTATGTACACTCGTTTTGCTCAGAAAAGAATCCCGGCTAACCTACTTGCAGCCAACCAAAGAAGGATAAGCCAAAGCCCGCCACTACGGAAAAGGCTGCCGCCGGTGCCACTCGCGGACGTGGACAGACCCGTGGACGCGGAAAGGGTCGTGGCGGTCGTGACGCACGCCCGAAGAAGAAGACTGTCGAGGAACTGGATGCTGAGATGGCCGACTACTTCCCCGGAGGTGAGACCAGCAACGCTGCCAGTGGCGCTGAGGTCGCCCAGGTTACCGCCGGCGGGGACACTGCCATGGACGACGAGATGCTCTAAACGCCATTTGTATCGGCATTTCTCCCAACACCCCCATTACTCTGTTATGATTTAATTGAACATCGGTTGAAACTTGGTCGGCTTTTCCGGTAGTCTGTCTGGCTTTACATCTTCTTTTCTTGGGAGCGTCATCATTTGAAAAATATCATACCACGATCAGTTGGTTCGCTGTCAGTTCGAGTTTAGCGGTATATTCAATTCGGCTTTTGCACACTGCTCATGGACATTTCGTTTTGGGCTCTCAAATTGTACTATTATGAGCCTGGGTAGCGACAATGAAGAATGGTCATGCTTGCACGAGCACATCCAAAGGATCCCTGGTTTCTGATGCCTCTTCTCGTGATGCTTCTACTACATGGTCATATCTGGATTGCGGTTGGCGGGCCATCCACGTGGTTAGTACACGCAGGGTGGCAATACTATCAAGCCACTGCATGGGGAGCCCCACAGGATATCCACAAGATATGCATCAAGTGTGCAAGGCGGTCGTGTTATCGGGTTTCGTATTTCGCAAAGGAAGCAGATGTGGACCATCGGCTATGTCGGCCAAAGCCGGGTGGGACCAAGGTGTGGCGGCAAACAAAGGCTCTGGAGATAGCCGTGACATGACCGTGTTTGGACAGCCTTCTCTCATGAAAGACCGAATGTGGCAACCTTCTCGCACTGGACATCACACCACCATAGGACGACATCGTTGGTAGCGGTAGTCAGCTGCGGCTCCCGAAGGTGAAACACACGTATCTGGGAGGGAGCACCCTTTCGTGCGAAAGGGTTTGCGGTCTTCCGTGGAACCAAGCCTTTTCGAGTCTTCCCCGCCATTTCCTAGGCCATGTGGAGATCCGCGGCTACCCTAGCTTCTGACGAGGTAGGTTGCTGGGCTGGGCAAAAGGAGCGCTCGTCCGACGCAGCTGATTCGGACAGGTGAGGTGATTACAATTCTTTTCACATCTGGCCTTGGCAAGATTTGGAAATGTCCCGACACATGTAGGCCGTGCTGGAGACAATAGTCAACGTGGCTCGGTGTTCGCGCCAGAAGAAGGCGAGCTTGCTGGGATTGGCGATAGGGTTACTGTTTCAGTCCTAGCAGAGGGGTCGTGTGGAGAGCTGGTGTTAGATGAGTACTGGTGCACGACATGAATGCTTACACAAGATTGATAAGGCTGGTTCAAGCAAAGGATACCGTCATCGGGGTGGATGCATCTCGGCTTCTTTCTGCGCATATGCATACGGACCGGCTACTAACCTGTGTCTAGTATTCCGGCTTAGAGGGCTGAATACCGCATTGCAGCGAGGTTAGCTGCGGCTTGGACGACACAACTGCGGGGGAGGGGTAGCTTTCACTGGCCGCTGGAGCGGGGCATAGGCCCCCGCCGCTGAGTAAAACATCATCCACCCATGCATCCCTGGCGCACACGATAGGTTGCAGAGCTTTCCCTTGATGGGCTCCCGATGACCGAGACTGTCTGGCCTAGCAATCGTGTAACAATGCTTGTCTTCTGTGGAGACGCCGTCTAGTGCCGTCATGCCCTGCCGATTCGAATACTTAAGATTTCTCATTGCCCCCCTTGCCCCTCCCTCAATCTTCAAGTCTCACACCCCCATTTTCCTTTCAGATACCCCAGTTCGTTTTTACAGCCATGTCTGAGACCTCTATAAAGCTATCGACTCCCCAGACGGGCGAGTACGAGCAGCCCACCGGCCTGTAAGTCATGCCTGCAAACTCCGAGGTTCTTCGGAAGCTTTGCAGTACCTCGGACATATCTCTGGGCGCGTATCAGTACTGACAGATGATACAGCTTCATCAACAACGAGTTCGTCAAGAGCGTCGACGGCAAGACTTTCGAGGTCATTAACCCATCCACCGAGGAGGTCATCTGCAGTGTTGCAGAGGCCACTGAGAAGGATGTTGACATTGCTGTCGCTGCCGCACGCAAGGCCTTCAACGGCCCATGGAGGAAGGAGACACCAGAGAACCGCGGAAAGCTTCTCGTCAAGCTTGCCGAACTCTTTGAGAAGAATGCCGACCTTCTCGCTGCCGTTGAGGCGCTCGACAACGGCAAAGCCTTCAACATGGCCAGGAACGTCGATCTTCCCGCTGCAGCTGGATGCCTGCGGTACTACGGAGGATGGGCCGACAAGATTGAAGGCAAGGTTGTCGATACCACACCCGACACCTTCAACTACATCCGCAAGGAGCCTGTGAGTATGCTTCTATACGAGTTTCCGAGCATGCAGCTAAACTCTTCAGATTGGTGTCTGCGGCCAGATCATTCCGTGGAACTTCCCTATCCTCATGTGGTCCTGGAAGATTGGCCCTGCTGTTGCTGCCGGTAACACAGTTGTCTTGAAGACTGCTGAGCAGACTCCCCTGTCCGCATATGTTGCATGCAAGCTCATCAAGGAGGCCGGTTTCCCACCAGGTGTCATCAACGTCATCACAGGTTTCGGCAAGGTTGCCGGAGCTGCCATTTCCGCACACATGGACATTGACAAGGTTGCCTTCACTGGTTCCACTGTTGTCGGCCGTCAAATCATGAAGGCTGCTGCTGGTTCCAACTTAAAGAAGGTTACTCTCGAGCTTGGAGGCAAGAGCCCCAACATCGTCTTCGCTGATGCCGATTTGGATGAGGCCCTTGACTGGGTTAATTTTGGTATCTACTTCAACCACGGCCAGACTTGCTGCGCTGGTTCGCGTATCTACGTCGAGGAGTCTATCTACGACAAGTTCATTGAGCGATTCAGGGAGCGCGCCGCCCAGAATGCTGTTGGTGACCCATTCGCCAAGGACACTTTCCAGGGCCCTCAGGTCTCGCAGCTTCAATTTGACCGCATCATGAGGTAAGGCTTGCCGTCATTACTGTAAAAGTTTCTGTGCTGACTCTGTAATTTAGCTACATTGAGGATGGTAAGAAGTCTGGCGCCACTGTCGAGACTGGTGGTAAGCGAAAGGGTGACAAGGGCTACTTCATTGAGCCCACCATCTTCTCCAACGTTACCGAGGACATGAAGATTCAGCAGGAAGAGATTTTCGGCCCAGTATGCACAATTTCCAAGTTCAAGACCAAGGAAGAGGTCATTAAGATTAGCAACTCGACCACATATGGTCTCGCTGCCGCCCTCCACACCAGCAACCTGAAGACTGCCATCGAGGTTGCCAATGCGCTCAAGGCCGGAACAGTGTGGGTCAACACATACAACACTCTTCACTGGCAACTGCCATTCGGTGGTTACAAGGAATCTGGTATTGGCCGCGAGCTGGGTGAGTCAGCGCTCGAAAACTACGTCCAGACCAAGACGGTGTCGATTCGTCTGGGTGATATGCTTTTTGGTTAAGCGGGTTTCTCTTAATGCGGTTTAAAAAAACTGGAGACTGTATGTACATATATAGCTAGGTTACCAGGAGCAAACAAATCAAAGTAAAGAATGTCAACATGGCTGTGACTTGCATGAAAGGCGAAAGGCAGCGCGCTGGCTCTATTGTACGTGATGTTCGAGCTGGCGAGGCGTTAAAGTCTTGGGTATCTAGGGTGCTGTTTCTTTGCTCATAGGTGGGTGGGGTAGCGGACTGTCGCTCTGCTAAAGTCGCACCTGGTAGCCTGGTAGTCTGCATGGCCTGCTGCACCCGCCTCTCCACATGGGTCTCTGGCTCGAGGCATTTTGCATCAGGAGATGTCATGGTTCAGGCGCTATGCAGACTGCTAGAGGCCATGGCCATGCTCAACAGCCGATCTGGTCAGATGGCGTTCTCCTGCCATCAGCAGGGAAACATATGCGAATGGGGAGATAGCGACATGAGATTGTGGATCTAGAAGTGTAAATGATGAGGTGCATGGGTGGAGTGGAGGCTGGCGGCTGAACGACTGTTCACATGCCGGCGCACGCGTTTTGTTTTGGCGACGAGCGGTTGCGTCAGTGCTCCGAATGATGATCGGAATTGTACTGCGCTACAACAACCACCCTTCCAAGGCTTCCACTTCCTTGCAGCCAACTGTCATCTCGTCACCTCTGCTCATGTGCATGTGAGCAAGGCAAATAATCTCTCCTTGACCATCATGATATCATGAAACCCTAATACGGCAGCTTCTGTTAAGAGTTGCAGCACCCGACGATCCAGCCATGCCATCGTCCACCATGGCCGCAAACGATTCCACCTTGTCATCGCGCGCCAACCAATATGTGCGCGAGGTTCTGCATAACACCGAGACACCCCCAGTCATACCCGTTCGCTATTTCTACACATCGCCGCTCGCTATAGATGACCCGCTGTCACCCATACCGCCACCACCAACAGGCACCTCGACTGCCAAAAGGGTTCCTCCACGACCTTTCTCCGAATACGACAACGAAGCTATCCAGGAATCATGGCACACGCTCCGAAAGAAGATTCTCAAGCACAATGAGGAGTTTGGTGAGAAGGACGGGACGGGGAGAGGCACGCCAACGAACCCAGCGGTAGAGCGGTTGAAGAGGAAGAGAGGAGGCAGCGCTTCCAGCGTCGAAAGCTCCACTCAAGGAAGAGACATACCAGGCCGGGAGATGGCCAGTAGAGGAGAGTACTCAAGGTCTGCAGAGATGCTGGATAGGAAGCGACCGAGCTCCAGCGGTGGCAGTCATGGTCACTCCACGTCAGGCTCATTCAAGCCATACGCATACGATCACGGATCCATATCGCCTCTCGAGCCCACGACGACCGGTACACCTTTTATCCGAGCACCTTCAAGAGGGAACTTGGCTAAATCATGGAAGCCTACGCCCCCAGAGGGAAGCCATCGTCCGACAATACATGAAGTAGATAGCTACAAATGGGATGATGACATGGAGCCCGCACTGTCGTCGGCCAAGGATAAGGGGCCCGCGAAACCTTCCAAGCCAAAGCCGGGCCCATCTGCGAAAGTCCCTGTTGGGGTCTCACGGTTGCATCACGTAGTCATGGACGCAGACTCGATACGGATGGAGCCTATATACTGGTCGCCGCTCAGTGATGTTGCCCAGATAGTTCGAGGAACGTGGTTCTACAAGGACAGCATGATGCCCGTCGAGGTTGAAGTTGCCAACATGCTTGAAGTCGGATACCTTGAAATGAAGCCCTGGACACAGACCTGGATGGACGAGCTCAACAGTGCCGTCGAAGTTGGTGCCTTTGGTGAAATGAAGATCCTGCATCACCTCTGGCCTGAAAAGCCTAGGAAGTCAGAGAGTAGGCCATCGACTTCGGCCCAAGCAATGCAGTCCACAAGCTTGGTCCAGAACACGTTACCTGAAGACGACGATGGCCCTGAGAAAGAGCGACGGGAAATTGTCGAGAATGCATGTGACCTAATTGACATCTCTACTGGCCCTGATGGCCCTGATCACAAAGCGGCTGGAGACCTCGAATATGGCGCTGACGGACGGAAACGTCTCTACTTGAAAGCTGGTGTGATATATTCAAACGAAAAGGAGGCCTTCATCCTCAAGCCTGCGCTCCAGCCGTCCGACTATTACGGTAGGAGGCCACTCGCAAACTACATCCGTAAGGGCAGGCAAATTGGTGTTCATGTCGTACGTGGGTTCGACCAGGCCATCTGGGACAAGCTGTATCCAAGCAAGAACTCGCCAAAAGCACAAGCGGCACGTCAAGGTGTGTCGACCGCGCAAGCTGGCGCACCGCCGTACCAGAGGCAAAAGTCCGATCCTGCCCTTGCGCAGTCCGAAAGGCCCAAGGTGACCGATCTCGTGCTTGTAATACACGGTATTGGACAGAAACTGTCAGAGAGGATGGAAACCTTTCACTTTACGCATGCGATGAACTCTTTCCGACGCGAAATGAATGTTGAACTTGGAACGCCGGATGTTAAGCGTCATCTACGGAAGGATATGGGAGGCGTCATGTGTTTGCCAGTAAGTTATCATGAACGGCAATTTGATCTACAATATGCTAACAGATACAGGTGAATTGGCGGCATCGCGTCTCCTTGGATGTCGACAACACCGAAGTCGAAGGGCCAGAAGACCCTTCTGCCAACAAATATACACTGAAAGACATTACTCCAGATACTCTACCGTCAGTTCGTGGTATCGTAAGCGATGTGATGCTCGACATTCCGTACTATCTTTCGCCGTTGCACAATCCCAAGATGGTGTCCGCTTGCATACAAGAAGCAAATCGTATCTATCGTCTGTGGTGTCAAAACAATCCTGGATTTGCTGAGTACGGTCGAGTCCACCTAATCGCTCACTCCCTTGGCTCCGTAATGGCCATTGACATTCTAAGTCAGCAACCAACCTATGTAGATCTCCAATTTACAGACCCGTCCTTTCCTGAGGCCGACCTACCTCAAGACCAATTCATCTTCAACACAACCGATCTCTTCGTCTGTGGCAGCCCAGTTGCTCTCTTTCTTCTCATGAAGAACGCAAATCTCCTCCCGCGCCGCGACAAAGAGAAACCCGGCGCAGACTCGTACGCCGCACCAGGTGTAGCCGGTGAACAAGGCACATACGGATGTCTCGCAGTAGATAACATCTACAACATCATCAACCCCTACGACCCCGTCGCCTGCCGCATCAACCCAACCGTCGACATTGTTTACGCCTCGATGCTCAAACAAGCCACCATCCCCTCCGCCTCGACGTCGTACTTTTCCTCTCTCAACCCTTTCCGCTCCTCAACCTCGTCACAATCTGCTTCTGCCGCCGCCAACAAACCCACAACCGCCCGCCTCCCTAGCAACGTCGAGCTCGAGACGCACAACTTTACGCGAGAAGAGATTGCAGAAAAGAGAATGTACCTCCTGAATGATAACGGCCAGATCGACTATTACATGAAATATGGTGGTGGGCCCTTGGAGATTCAGTACCTGACTATGCTTGGTGCGCATAGTAGTTATTGGCTCAGCAAGGACTTTGTCAGGATGATTGTAGTTGAGGTGGGTAGGGGACAGGGGAAAGAGGGCACGATTGGGGATATGAGGGCTGTGAAGAAGAAACTTGTCGTCGTTCCTGCAGCAGCGACATGATAGGGTATGGGAAATATATGGGATATGGGGCATTCAGACTGGGAAGTTTAGGCGTTATTCAAAGGTTGGTTTGTGTCTTCGCTGGAGAAAGTTATACCCCACTACCCACCGGTTCTTCTTGGGACATGTATGTTGTTATACATAGGGATGTCTTTGGAATTCTGCATATGATGGACTGGAAGCAGAAGAGAAGGAAAATACGCTTTTCGGATTGTCTTTTTAGAATTTCCTGGGTTATACGTAGATGTTTGGAATCTTTCTTCTTCTCTCACAACATGTGTATGATTAATCTTGTTACCTATCTAGCTGAACACTTGCTTCCCTCTCAAACTACCTTGTGCCTTTTTTCCCTTGGCTCAATTGTCCATACAACTTAGTCCGCCACCCATCCAAACCACGCTATCGACTCTAGCCTCCACACTTTCGTCCACCGAGCATCTCCGTCCACGCCACAACAGACACGTATCTCAAGCCTCAATTTCTCGCCGCGGAGCACACGGCATTGGTATTTCAAATTAACTAGGCCATGCACGTCTCTCCCACAGCATGTTCGAACAAAGGCGAGAAGCGGAGAATGTCACACATCACGCCATGTGCGCTACCTATATTACACAACATGCACGAGACATTGAAACGCTAGATGAACCAACACGTCTCTCTCGCAGACACGCACGAATTGGAGCAACCACCAAGCATGCATTCCCCAGTTGAGCGCAAGCAAGACTCACGGAGCCGTCGACTTCATTAGCTTAGCCTATGCTAGCCATGACATACTCTCTCATCTCCCCACCCGCCAACAACCATGCAAGCAAGCGGCAAGAGCCTCGCTAAGCTACCCCAAGCAGCCTACCTACACCTATACTTACTTACGTCCGTAACCCTAAACTCTATTCTCCCCTACCTAACCCCCATCACAAACTCAAGCATATCCCCCGTTCCCTTCCTTCCCGCAGCCCTCCGGTCGCCCCGTATCTCCCAAGTTCAAAACAAAGAAGAAAAAAATATCCAATCGCCATCGTATATACTTCACCCCCGCCCTACCCGCTCTCTTTTTCATTATTTACTGTGTGTACTTACTCTATTGTTCGAGGTGGATGGGATATAGTTGCATATGAAACGGAATAAAGCGACAGAAAAAAGGGTTCATCCCTGTTTCACACACACACACACACTCTCTCTCTCTCTCTCTCTCTCTCTCGCACGCACACGCGCACACACGCGCGCACGGGCTCGCCTGAACCGAGCGACGGTTTGTGTTATTTATTACTAGTGCGAAGAAAAGCGGTAAGTGCGCGGGGGATGGGGGGTGATGGGCATGGAGAAAAGCAGGGTCGAACAAACGGGTGGGCGGTCATCTGGTAAGGTAACATGTAGCATGTTGGGGATTCTTTTCTTCTTCTAAACTAGTTAGTGGTTTAATATGTTAAGTGGTAGTTTAGGGTTTTCTGGAAGGTTATTTTATTCATTTAAATAAGGCTGGGAGTAGGACCGTGATTTAAGGCGTGTGGTTCGATGGTTTGCGGGAAGGCTAGGTGGGAAGAGGGAAGATGGGAATGGGAAAAGGTGGGGGGGGGTGGAAGGGTCGGGCTGAATGAACGGATGTTGGTGGTTGAACTTGCGGTGTTTTTTTTTCTTTCTTGCTTTCTTGGTTGTTGGATGCGAGGAGACAAAGAAAATACGCATGCGATCGGTCGGTTGGTGCCGATGCGAATCGGAGTGTTAGCCTCATGTGTTGCAAGGTGAATCGCCGACGTGGCTGTTTGAGACCAGAAAACAGGGAAAGAAGTTCGGCGATTGATTCGCGGCGTTTTGGTCTCGCGTACGTTGCACAAACTAGCAAGCAAACTGAAGATCTGCGATGTGATTGCATTGTATACCCTGCCGGTTTTTTAGGATTGCACACAAGGCGTGTTGGCATACGCTTGGGGGCGTAGACGCAATCGCATAGCATTGAAGTAGTGAATTTCACGAGCAATGCGACAGCCAGGCCACATGTGGCTTGCAGCGGTTAGGACACGGCTAATATACGACGAGATCGCCTAGATAAATGTATTCGCTCGATTGATCCCGGTCGGCGGCCCGTTCGACTCTGACCGGTAGATCTGCGAAGTACCTCATTGGACCACGCGCGTCGATTGCAACAGCGACTGGGGGCTGGCCGGACAAGGGAGTCCAGGACGATATGACCAGGGCGGGAGGGTTTCGCAAAAACGTATCCTTTTGTTGGTTGTTGAAACACCAAGGCGTTGGTCAACGGGAAGCAAAAAAAAAATAACCTTGTACAAGCCGCCCAACCCGGAGGAATATACTATACAGAGAATAATTGGTGGAGATGTGGTTCGAGATTTGTATCACGCACCAAGTCCCAAGCCATGTACAGATTCATCATCTCCTAATGCCAGCCGTACTTCATCCTCGCCAACACCAAGCCGTACGCGACCCACTCGCTCACCGTGCCGGGCTTCCACGCCTATGATGCCTGCTTCAGCAAGTTCGGTGGCTGCATGCGCAAGACCAAGCGCTCTTGCAACTTTGAGGTCCGACTGTTTCGAGCCCATGTTAGGAGCGTCACGGTGCTTCGACGGCGTCGGTGGCTGCACCACCGCGCCGATTCCTCCGTCTATCCTATCGTCCTTCTCTGGCGCGAGAATGTATTCGTGAACGGGTCGCAACTGGCTCATGAGGCCCAATCGCTTTACTTCATCCACAACATCACCAAGCACCGCTTCGCCAATACCCGAGCGACGTATCCGTGCCAAGAGTGCTGCCAGGAATACTTTGGAAGCCAGCGGAAGAGCCCGCAACGCCTGTTGCAGGGGGCTACTCGTTGCTTCATTGATTGCTTGTTTGATCGTCACCATTGTGACTATGCCCCGTCGTTGGGCTGAATGCCCGACCTGATCTGCCCTCTGACCCACCAACTCTCCGGCAGTTGTGATTGACTGCGAGGTTGGAACCAAGTTAGCTTTGTTGTTCCGGCCAGACCTACTTGGTGTAGCCGGCTGGACTTCATTATCTCGGTCCTGTGATTTGATTTCGGCCTCGGTTTCGGCGATTTCTACCGCTCTTCGACAAATGTCCAACGCGCGTCGAGCATCTCCACTAACAGCTGCAACTTTACGGGCTGCAAATTGAACAGCATCAGGATGCACAATATTTCCTGGTACACCTTGGAGTCGCGATTGAATAATCTGCATCAATTGGTCGTACGTATAGCCCGGAAAGGTGATGCGTGTCAGGCCTAAGCGATAAGCGTGTTAGTCTTGCCGGTGCAGTAAGCAATACGAATGGTCACGTGGCATGCAATGGATATGCATAATTGTGATGTGCAAGCCGTTGAAGATCGCCCACGTTTGGAATGTGGAATGTGGAATGTGGATGAGGATGTGGATGTGGCTAGGGATGAGAGAGCGTTTCGATGTGTGGGGCCATTTTGGGAGTAGAATAGAGATGCTGGAACTTACCGAGCCGGCTGCTAATTTTATTACTCAACGTTCGTTCAGGCAGGTCCATTGTGTTGGCTACAGCAAGGACGATTAGCCTGCTGTGTCGGAGCCCAGGCCAGTTGAAGAAGTTGTACATGACAGATTGGTTCTTCGTAACCAGCTGATCGAGTTCATCCATCAAGACGACGCAAGGAACACGACGTGGGCTCGGAGTCGAAAACTCACGCTCCAGAAGCTCCAATGCATGAGACGGGCTGACTCGATCCCCACGCAGTGCTTGCCATAACAGCGAGTACGACTGGTGTGGGTCTGTAACTTTCATGCCATTGATTTCAACAAATATGAAATCGTCCAATTCTTCGGCTTGTACCGAGGCCTGCAGCTGTGCCACGACTTCACGCACCGTCGCCGTCTTTCCAGTGCCTGGAGTGCCCGAAATATAGATGCAAGACCCTGATCCTTCGGTGATAGCAGCCTCCAAGTGGCTGTAGACGGTAGAGAATTCCTCTTCCCGACAGGGTAGGGCAGCCGGTACTGACGATACATGGAGTTGATTGCGAGCAATCTGGAACGGCGAATTCAGGGTAGAGGGGTCGAGTACGCGTGTCCCCAGGGGGGTAAACTCTAATTGCTTCTTCAAGACAATTCTCTTGTGTGATGGGGTAAGGAATTTGCGGGCTGCCGGACTCTTCTTGGTCGAAGTGGGCGTAGTCGCATCATAAAGTTTCCGGCGCTTCCGCGGAGTTTCGGGCTGGCCTTCATGCGCTGCATCTGGAACCACAAATTCATCCAGGTCCTTTTGCAGCTGCTTCTTTGGCCGACCCGGACCTTTCCTTGTGGCCTTGGTCTGGCTCTCGACAAGGTCAACCAGGGATTGAATATCTTCAGCGCTGTTGTAAATGTCTTCCCACCTAAACTCGGGTGTATATGTCGTTGTTCGTGTATTACAGCCTCTCCTGCAGACGAACACCTTGCCATAGTCCTTGGAGGACTTTTTGACCCCTGTTGGGTATAGCTCTCGGTATCGCTCCAGGGAATATATCTTGGCCGTACCGTTAATGGAAGCCAGCGGGTTGTCATCGAATGCAGCCGATATGTACAGCTCGTCCTATTGGTTTTGCAATTAGTCGGCAGTCATGCGCGCACGAAGTGTCAATCGGCTCACAGAAAGGAAATCGGTGCGCTTCTTGTTCTGGTTTCGGATCTCCTTTTCGGAGAAGAACCACAGAAATTTGGCCATCTTCTCGTCTTCGTCGACGTCTTCGTAAAAGTCACAGATGATGCCCACCCATGCTTGGTTTCCCTCTGCTTTAAGCAGGACAGCGTCGCCGACTTTGCATTTGAAGCTGCCCATGCGTGCACCCACTATGTGTCTTCCCAGCAGTTCGGGGGCTGCTTTTCTCTTCCGTGGTGTCGCATTCTGATTCGGCTGGGTGTCGTCGGCGGCATTGTCCTGGTAGATCCATTCCCATGGGTGGTCCTCGTAGCCTAGCTCATCGTCCGAGTCTTCACGGAACACCGCGCCGCCAGAGAGGTATTGCCGTGCCTTGTCTACCTTGGAGCGTTTGATGGGAGCCATAGAGGAGTACAAGTGGTGTTGTTACAATTGGGGGGTTAATTGTCGCTGACGTTGGCGCGCAACCGGAACACTGCGACGCGTCGCTGTAGGCTTGGCGTCGCGAGACGCGGCAAGGCCAATCTCACCGCCTGGAGCACGGTCGTGACACTTTCACCTCACCATTCCAGTCGGTCGCAACATACCCATTGCAAGTGTGTACGCACATGGGTGATCAAGAGCGCGCATCACGTATCACTTGTCATCATGCACAAAGAATCAGATAATAATAATAATAATAATGTTCATTTGCCATATCACCGTGGCTCAGGCTTGCGCTGGCGCTAAGCTCACGGCCCTATGGTGAAATCTAAGGTAGTAGTCATAACCAAACAGACTTTGTCAATAAAGACAAGCAACCTCTTAACGCCCAACCTTCCTGGTTAAGTGAGGGACCCTTCCCTAAACGACCGACGCTGATGATGCAAAACAAGAGAGAAAAAAAAGAAGCGGGTAATAATTCATAAAAGACAGGAGACTGTAAGTCTCAAGAAGAGAAGGTAAAAGAATCCGCGCCACCGCACCCTCGTTATACAGAGGAAATGGGATGCATGGGAGGCGTTCGTGGCATAGAGTTTGGTGTTGTTGGGTAGTCTATGTCCGAGTGCTCAAGTGGTGGCGTCGACATCTGCCGGAACCGGTCAGTGGATTGGTTGGCGAAGGAAGAGCAGCAGCAGCGAGCGGAAGAGCTGGAAGTCTACGCATAGTAGGGCTGGCGTGTAGGGAGCCTTACTGAGTGTGCGTAGGAGTGGGGTGGTGGGATCTCGATCCCGCCAAGTGCCGCGTAGCCAACACCAAACGGGCTCATGTCCTCCTCGGCGTAGTACTCAGTCTTCATAGCGGGCACCAAACTTGGCAGTCCAGTGGAGTAAGAAGACGAGTGTGGCGGTGGTAGGTAGGCGTAGCTTGGCATGTCGGTGGTGAGGGTAGTTGGTATTGTGTGGTAGGGCGAGGCTGAGTAAGGCATGGAGTAGGCTACGGCGTCTGGTGCTGGGTAGGCGGACGAGTAGGCGACAGAGAAGGGTGGTGGGCTGGTGGACAGCTGGCGGGTGTACTGGTGCGAAAACATGCGGTCCTCGGCGGGTGGGGTGGTGTAGGAAGACTCGGAAGAAGATGGTGAGGGGAACTCCTGGCGCGGTGATGGCTGAGGTGGCTGCAGCTCAGCAGGCTTCTGCTCAGGTGAAGCTGAGCTAGAGGCAGCACGACGCTCCTGTAGCTGCATCAGTACATTGCTCCGAGCTATACGAGGTGCGGTAGCACGGGAACTCACAAGGTCTTCGAGCCTCTTCTTGAGCTTCTTGCGGTAGTTGCGTTGAGCAATGCGGTTCTGAATACGCCTGCGCTCCGCAAGATCCGAGATCTTTGTCCAGTCCTCGTTGGGGTTTGCCGACGCTGAGAAGGCTGACGAGGTGCCCGAGTATCTTGTAGTGGTTGCTACTGGGCTGGCATACTGATAGCTGGCGTGTCGATGCATGGTGGAAGAAGTGACGTGGGTGGGGGGGTAGTGTGGCTAAGGGAAGCAGCCACAGGCAGTGATGTAGTGGTGGTGGTGGTTGTTCAAGAGGAGGATATGTATATGGTGATGGTGGATTATGACTGAGGCAAGATGAAGATGAGAAGATAGAAAGACTCAGTGGTGGAGCTGGATGTCTGGCTATTAATGTAAGAGGCTTTGGCAGTTGGGGAGGACATTATATTTATCTCGCCGTCTCAAGAAGCGTCCGCAGTCGTTCGAGTGGAGCACAGACGGACTAGTGTTGGTCCCCAGCTTCAGGCCCTCGCAGCGCAGGCATCCTGGGCTGTCGGTGCCGGCTTGGGCATTGCTCAATTTGGTACGGTTTGGAGGGACCCTGGCCGGTGTACATTCACCGACTGCGGTCTTGTAAATTTAGTATGGGCGCTAGCGCAGGCTGGCAGCGGGCCAGTGAGCGTTGGGCTGGCCAGGGCGCGGCAGGCTTCTGAGGCCACGGCAGGGTGAGACGGTGGGCGCATGGGCGTGTACTGAAAGCAACGGGCGCGGAAACGGTGTATTGGGGAGCGGTGACCATCAGCATCATGGCTGTCAGGCCTGTCAAGCCCCCAGCGACCCCCTAGTCGTCGCTCAGCGCTGCTCGCCCATCCCCATGTCACCCATGCCGCCTCTCGACGCGTCTGCCTCCCCCTGCCACCGCCCGCCCTCGCTGCGTACCCAGTGCTCGTCGCCAACAGCCCTACGTCCCTTGGCCGCTCGAGCGTGACGGAACTTCACGCGACCCCGGGCACGAGTCTGTGTGTTGTCTCCATCTCGGTCCCTGCGTGCGGCGTGCGTATGCCTCTCCCCAAGGGCCCTTGCCCGCATCGACGCTTCACAGCAGCACCACGGCGTTGCTCGTCCGGCCGCCTCTCTCTCTCTCTCTCTCCCCCTCTGCCAGCCCGCGCCAGCCGTTGCCTCCACTTCCACCTCCACCTCCGCTATGCTGCATGCAGTGCTGCAACTGGGGGCCGCAAGCCAGAGCAGACGCATCCATCAACTGTGCCTCGCGCCGTCGTGGGTGCAGCGCCCGCTGGGCAGAGCCGGCACGCCCCACTTGCTCGTCTTCAGCCCCCCCACCTGCCATTGGCTGCTCCACCACCAGCTCTGCGCTGCCTACGTACGACGTTGTGCATGTGCAATCTCCAGACACCGCGACCACTCACCGCGACTCGCCCGTTCCAAAATGACGCTGCCGAAATGATGAATTGCTCTGTCTGTCTGTCTGTCTGTCTGCCTGCCCGGCCTGCCATGGCTGTGACTGAACTGTCCGGCCCTGCGTTGCGTTGCCGTTATGGACAATAGAATAGGGAAGGAAGCCTACTCCATACTTGCTGTGTACGACCATATCCTCTATCGAGTCTAGGCCCCCCCCGCCAACCAACTTCAGCCCTCGCACCACCACCACCCAAGCTGCTTTGTCACCCACTCCCTAACTAGTAAACTGCGCTGCGCAGCCGACCGTTGGATGGACAAACCCCCCTCTCTCCCTCTACCCACTCAATGCCCACGCAAGCCACGCAAAGAGCCCCAGAATTCCCCTAGAACAAGCGTCTCACACTTCAGCAGCCCTACGCATCCTCCCATGCTCTACCGCAGCCGCATCAGCACCTTACTGCAGTGTCGGTGAGGTAAGGCGAGAAGTCCCTAGGTCTTTTCAGCCTAAAGCTTGTTGCTACGAGAATAATCAATCACCACGGCATCAGCCAATCACTATGCCAAACACACCATGTAGAAACACTGATAGACGCGCCCTCAGCTCTTTCCATTGATGCCATCTCTTTAGCGTCTCGACGGGGTATTGGCCACCAACGCTACGCCCTACGCCCAGCGGCCGAGGCTCATTTGCTTCGCCCTCGACGACTGGCTTTCCCATTTACCTCAACTGTCCCAGCCCGCCAAGAGGGTGCTTTGTAGCAGCCGTTGCTGTGCATACTACTTGGCTTGGTGCCGGCAGTTGCTATCTATGGCTCGGAGAGACTCTACCAATGCAGAAACGCTTCCCTCATTGTTGACCGTTGGCGGCTGTGTTGCGACTTCAGGCCACCCCCGAAGAGCACATGGAGATTGTGGGGGCCGAATCATGGCAAAAAGTTGGCCGATCGAGTAGAGGGCTGGACTTGGATAGTTGAGACATGTCTGTGGGCCACGATAGCTGAGCAAAAGTGCCCCCAATTGAAGAGAAATGTGGCCATGCTGATCCGTTGTACATGCCGAAGCCATGCATGTTCCCAAGAAGCGTGGTGGGTTGGTTGTGATGGTAGGGCTCTGCCATTTGACACTGCAATGGCCGTGTGTGGGGTATGGAGCTCGTCTAGATGCACTTTGCCTCAAACATCTGAGCTGGTTTCTCTGGGTCCGGGCGATGGGGTCCACTCTGCTGCTGTTTCGAGTAATAGTTGTCTTTGAGTAATGACCAGGTTGTGCAATCTACCAACGATACTGGAACACAGCCCGTGCGCAAACACAGGCCCCCATTTGAAAAGTTCCAAAGTTCAAGAGCAATATACGCGTGATTGTAAGGCGCCGGTGGACAGGACATGGTACCATTTACCCGTAAGAATTGCTAATCGTGGGTGTAGATTGACGGCAACGTGGGCTGTTGTTGTGGTTGTCTAGACAAGCTTTTCCAGCAAATGCCTGCCTCCCATGGCCATGGTATCACCCCCCCCCAAGTCTTTTTGCTTTCACATGGCCGGTAGTTGGACGAGCACCATCAGCACCTGGCCATTTGAATCAAGACCAGTTAGAAGGAGGCAGATGCGACCAAGTCTACAAATAGTGTCTTGATGTTTTGGAGCAGTGCATTGCCACCGGGGGTGCTGTAGCACTTGTGCTTTGAAATACACTATTGCGCATCGCACCATGGCGAAGTTACGCCCTGCGCTGCCCGTTAACGGAGCATGCCGGGCGCGAATTGGACTTGTGTGTATGGACAGCGCCCAAGAATGCCAGGACAGCTAGCGCAGTGGCCGGATGTCTCGTCTGCTCACTCGTGCGACTTGGTGTTCTGCAACTTTGACTCGTCATTGTACTAGACGTGACTGATGTGACCCCGGACTCCCGGGCTTATCGCAAGTCCAACACGTGCATGCCATGGAAGCCTGATGTAAGTACAGACACAAACGCCAAGCGCATGCATCTAGCAATACTCGAGTGCAGTCTTGCGACTGGAGCCACACCGGTTTGCGGCATGCCCGATTCCAACTATGACGGCCAGCGCAATACAACTACGGCCTTGTATACTCGACGCGATATCAGAGTCGGTGATGTCCCGACGGTGAGAGTGTAAGGCGGGAGGACCCCTGTTTTTTCCTAGAGCGGCTAGCAGCGCGACGGCCCCTGTTAGCGAAGACTGGTGGGCAGCTGTGAGTGGGCAGAAGCAGAAGCGAGACAAGTAGACAGGCCTAGGCGACCGTTGTGTCGGGCGTTCCGACCAAATCTCACCGCTGGACGCCATACGTTCATATAGTATGCTACGGGGATGGGCATGGCGCGAGTGACCAGGTCAAGTATGGTGCCATACTGTTGGGCCCATTTACTAGCATAGCATCCTTCCTGGAAATTCCCTGGCCACAGTATTGTCCAAAACGAGGACGAATTGCGCAGTCGTTGGGAGCAATGTGCTAAAACGGACACATGAGCGCTTGATTGCGGGCGCCTCGAACCAAACTACTCTACTCGCATTCGAATTGCGGTGGAAATGAATTTCACATACTAACCTCTTAACCGCTGGCCAAATGCGTCTTCTGCTAATCCTGTCGCTAGAGTTGGCAGGCAATGACGCCAGCCACGAGTGCGCTAATTCGTAATTCGTCGGGCAGAGAAAGAGCATAGTAGGGCCTATATTTAGCGTCCGCTCTACCAAGTCGAGCCAACGTTCTGACGACAGCATACCCCTCGACGCACCTTTGCAGCCCTATAGCCCTATGGCACACCCGATAAAGCAGCTGACATGACCATGGTTTTGTCAAGCATACCATGTCAGCGACGAGTCCCCTCTTGCCATGGCCGCCGGGTGCTGGTTGCTGTAGTAGCACCTTGGGCCAAGGTCCTGACAAACTACCGTTCACGACACACAGACACGCGCGCACACGCATACGCACACGCACACAGACACGCACACACCCTCTCTCTGGAATTAGTAGGTGAGGGGTAGACTATACACGTGTATCCGCATATGGACCAAGCTCGCACGGTATCGAGTTCACCGGTTTCTGGGCGTAACCGGCAGGAGGGCACGACCAGTACGGTGGGAACGCCTACCGCGTCTCTGCACAAGCAGTGGGTAGACGAGATGGACTGTCATTTGCAAAAATCGAGAAGGATGTGAGGGTGTGGTGGGCATTGGTCGCATATTGGGCAGAATGCAGCAAGCTCGCTTAGACGAGAGGTGTATAACCAAGCGCCCATGGCGCCTCGAGCAGCGACTTCACCGATAACCATTGGTCGCCTAGCACACGGACGCTCGCCAACGCTGTGCATCCGCACCGGGGGGGATAGTCAGGCCTCGTGGCAGTCTGGCAGCAGAGCGTCTCGGCCCTCGACCTTTGGCGACGTCCATTTGCGCAATTGCATCACACTCTTGTTTCCGTCACGCTGCAGCCCCCAAGGCAGAATCAAGGCCTCGATCAGCCGCATCATGGCCCTTTGGGGGGGCGCTCCTTCAAGACATGCATGTACTATAGCGTGCTCAAGGACGCAGCATCGTGCAGTCACATTTCCAAGTGGGTCCGTCGGCACAGGCTCGAGTCCAGACACAAGACAGGGCAATTGTACGACTACACTACTTGCACACTGGCAACACCAAGCGCGCTCAACGCGAGCAGGCCAGTAAGGCGCAGCATGAGCATCGGGCGTCGGCACAGGCAAGCCCGCCCACGCGTTCGGGGGTCCAAAATCGCATCATGGCGCGGTTGACAAATGCTGTGCATAGTTGTGGGAATTCACATTGCGCTTGCAGCGGACACGGCCATGACTAAGACGGTGGGCTGCCGAGTGGCTTGCATCGGCAAGTGGCAGTCTTGTTCTTTGCAGTCATCAAAGTTGCGACTGTCATCCCACAACCAGCAAGCGAAACGAACCCCACTCAGGATTCAACAGCCCATGCAGGAACATTGCCGCAGATATTGGCAATAACACTGTCTGTTCAAGGCCGTGGTTGAGCGACTTCTCCTCACCAACGTTATGTACTATGCAATCTGCTGCATACATACATACTTGCACTTACATACACGTGTACATAGATATTATAGATCCAGACTACTATCGCGCCAGAACGGCTTTTGCTTATTTCCGCCTCGCAGAACCTATGCTTTATAGTGGAGCATGAGTTTGAGGAACGGCAGCCCGAGTCAGGATCGTCAAGCCTTACCAGTTGTCAATTGTGGCAGGTCCGTGAGAAGGTATTACGGCTTCGCATGCCATTGGACGCCACATGGAATCCTACTACCTATCGCCTAAGCTCCTAGGCGAATTACTCAGCCAGTGACGCATGTTTGTCTACCTTTTTGCGCACTGCTGCTAGCACGTCACACTCAAGGCAGCAGTAGGGCTGAAGACGGAAACCTACTGAACGAGGTTGCGCGTGGTGCACTTTGTTTTTTTCTCTCGACCGGTGACAAAGCAGCAGAATCTCGCAGAATAATCGGGCAATGTCGCTCAACAGTGCTGCTACATGTGTCGCCAGGCGTGTTGGTCCGTGGAATGTTACCCGCCCGCCCGCTTGCAAGTACACGCTCCTAGCTACGCCACTGGATACGCAATACGCCTCTCGGGCGTCGAGTGTTTGTGATGGACAGATGGTTGCAGCGCAATGTGCGTCATAGCGGACTTGTAAACGCCATATCGCTATCGCCGACACCACGAACATCGGACTCGTCCTTCTAAAGTCCGCACCACCCCCATCGGCCTAGCATTCCATGTCTGGTCCTCCTAGCCAAGGTGTTGCGCAATGGATTTGGAAGCGGCAGCGGTAGCAGCATCATGGCTGACCCTTGCTACAAGTGCAAGTGTTCTACAGCCTTGCACTACCAAGATTTGACAAGCGGACTTGGGCGGGGAATGCAGTGTGGTGTGCAGTAGGCATGACGAATATGGCAGAGGTCGCAGTGGGAGAACAGATCAAGATTCTTTCAGCATGGCTGTAGGTGCACCGCGTGGGAAGATGACATTTGCTGCTACTATATGAAGATGAGCATATACAACAGCGCAAAAGCATGGTTTATCGAGTTTTGAGCAAGATGGCAATGGGTAGGCAATCATGCCACTTACCCCGCGCTACCCCCTTACCCCCCTTGCTCCCCCCAGACGGGCGCGAGGATGCAAGTCATCAGATGGTGGGATGGCTGTCACCAGTCGGAAACAGGACTCAAAAAGGCAACATGGTCTAGAATGGTGCATCTCGTGGCCATTGAGGGCTCTGTGATTGCGCCTATCTCTCAGCTGCTAGGTCATGAGGCTTGGTGCGGATGTAACCACACGTGTGTGCAGCGTAACCACGAGCAAGCCGAGGAGCAAGAGACGGGCAGGAAGACATCTTTGGCTCAAGGTGACGCAAATAGGTCTGGACACATGCTACCACGCAACAGGTCGAGTCCTGAAACGGAAGCATGGTGCGAAATGCTCGCTTGCTACTCGTGCCTTTTCAGCCTCTGGGTGCGGGGCAGCGACTGCGCCATGGAGCGTCCAAGCCAATATGATAGATGGTACTAGCAGTAGTGGTGGGTGTAGTACATGTGGTTGTTTTGATTTAGAATGGGCCTAGCAAACTCGGTGTAAGGCAAAATAACCACCAGCTGCACTTTACATCCGCACTCTACATCCGCACACACGACAGGTCAACGTGGGGGCTCCGACTGTTCCGCCAGGCCCCACGATAGAGTTGAAAGTGTGAAGTGTCGCCGTCTGCGCGAAACATGCCGGAAACAGATGGAGGCAGCCACAGGGACCTGACGGGCACTCGGGAGTCGGCTACAGTCACGTGAGACTGCAACACGCGGCACGGAACTGGCTCCGAAGGGCGCAGCTGGACACGGCACGGGCTGGTTAGTGTGTAACGATGTGGTGGCGCAGGCATCATTCGCGGGCCCAACCGTGCCTTGTCTTCAAGGCTGTACCTGGTTGCCAGACTCACCATACGTACCGCTCTCCAGCCCAGTGCCCACGATACCCACGACACCCGCAGGTGGCAGACTACCACTATTTCCAAGTCACAGTTCCCTTGTCTTCCTCGTCGCCCCTGCTCGCTGAGAATTATACAGCATGTCTTTGGCCAGAATTCAAACAGAAGGGTTGTGCCACCTCTTGCAGCCAGCTATGTAAGTACACTATGTATACTGTGTATACATATCCAGCTTGTATGTACATACATTGGTACATGCAGTCTGTATACCTCCCCGGTCGTTGGTGATCCAAGCGCGTGGCTGGCCAGATGTGCTTACATACTTGCCTGCTTACTTACAAAGACATGCAAAACCTCTCTACCAGCAGTCATGGAAGCTTTGGCCCTGTCCCCTAGCGCCGGTAACTATCGCAAGCCGCTAAGCACTCAATCCATCCCTCTGCCTTGTCTTCAACGGTCGTTCTGTCGGAAATTCCACTTTCTAAAATTCCATCTTGGCAGAAATTCACGATCTTGACACCGCCTGATTAGGTTTGGGGTCTTTTTGACATGACACTGGACGTTACACCGTCTTGCATATACGTCCCGTCTACACCAGCCGCCACAGACTGTGTACGCCGAGTACAGAGGCAATTCCCGCTGCATAAGTATGTATCTAGCCATGTGCATGTGTCCAAGTCCACTCGACAGCCATCGCTGCTCAGCCTTGGATTCCCACGCTAGCCTGACCAACGATGTGCAAACGACCTGACCAATGACTGGTTACGAAGAAGCTCAAAGGGCTTGCGCGGAAACAAAGGACACTAAGCCTTCTTGGGCCAATGCGCATCGCACTGAACTTCCGCAACGCTTTCTTAACGAGGCAAAGCGCGATACCCCCTGGCGGCCTTCATTTTGGTTCGTGCCAGCCCAAGCCTAGGGCTGGGTAGATAGTCGGCGATTTGCAACTATGGACTCGCATTCCATGTACCTACCATGCATGCACGCAGGCCCACCGGAGCCCGAATGCGGAGGGTGAACAGCTTGTCGGGTCCGACAGGCTTCTTCTCTTTCATCTCCTGATTGTAGCAAGACACATTACATATCGCCCAGCGAGCGGCTTTTCACAGAGCCGATTGTTGGCGCCGTTTGTCGGGTTCCAATGACTTTTGCGTTGAACTGCCCAAACTGCCACACAGCTGTCATGGGTACGTTTTATTACCCCGGATTGCTCCCACGTTGGCACGTTTGAGTAGTTGGTCAGCACTCAAATTGGGCCGAAAGCGATTGATTGACGGGGGGGGGGGAACCTGCTGCCTACCTCCACGGACGGTTGCTCGCGCAAGGGCTTACTGATCTGATGGTCGCGAATGTTGTAGGGCTGAGGACATGTCTTATGCCGTTCCCTCCACGCGGGGGTTGAGCCAGCGGGCAGTCTGACATGTCGCTCACCCTTCTTTGGCTCTGATCTCGCATCCCACATGGGAGTCGTACATGACGTTATCTAGGAACAAAAATAAATACACATACCAGCAGAAGGTGCATGTAACAAATCTTGTCGCCTCTCCTGTGCTGTGCCGTCTGTCTGCGCGTCGCACCGAATACAAACCCGCCTCGACGCATTTCAAACACATGTACTCGACATCCATGTCCCGAGAGGGGCACGCGCACACAATCATAATGCACAAGCACTTCGACTTCTTCTGTACTTTGCGAAATACGCCATAGTCGACGTGCATACCCTGTCACTGGATCTTTTCAGGTGAAACACGACAGAAGCCCCCTATACCTAACGCCAGGACAACCCGGTGACACTTCCACCCTTTCCCTTCTGCCAACCGTCGTGTCGGCCATTTCGGCGCAACCTACAGGACCGAGTTCCGATTGTCTCTCAGCCGCTCGAACGGGCGCACAATCGTCACTGGCTGGATGGCCCGAGTCGTGGCACCTGCAAATCCGGTCCTTCCGTTCGATTGATTTGCTCCATACCGTTGTCGCTCCGGCATATTCCACCACACAAACACACAGCAACACGGACTCGGACTCGGAACAGAAGGTACACGTACACACACATGCTGGCTGCGAATCTGATCATCAGGGCTAGCGATCGCAAAAACTTGGCGCTTCCCAAACCATCCAACACCCTACGTAGTGGATTACTACACAACTGCCGTCCAGCCCCAGGTCGATCACTTGGTAGAAATCGCACCGACTACTAGTGATTTTCCTGTGCGCTCCCTTTTTCTCTCGCTCCATTCGCGCCGATGAAGACGAGAAGATGCGGTGGGCAGCAACACACACAAACACCGTGCACGCACACCTACATACGCGCGCGCTCTGCCTTGCATTTCAGTTCAACTGACCTAATCGAAAAGTATGAGACACAAGTCGCGGAGAGGACTCCGATGAGGAGTGAGGTCGGTGTCTCAAAGCAATAACAATGTCACAGTCATGGCTTTTTTACGGCGGCTCTAGTAGACAGGCTGGTTAATTGTCATATCACGACAGTGAAGCGGTCAGTCAGGCTATGCGTTGGGTGCGTGGTGACATTTCAGGAGGGAGACAGATAGTGCAACGCGTTTAGGTTAGAACGCTACGTCTGTTTGTACTTCGGTACCTGACAGTCCGGTGTGCCGCACATTCGTGTACATTACAGCCAAAAAGCAAGCTTTTCGTATAACTGGGACGTTGAAAGCGTCCGCTGTTCGATAAAGTGCTCTAGGCCTAATGAAGGCCCGGGGGGTTGTTGCTGTTCAGTAATAATAGGGCCGGTTTGAAACAAAATCATAGGTGGTCCTTGACCGTGTTCGCGCTATTTGCTGAGGGAATTTACCGCTTCACCTTTTTTTGATCATGCATCTTGGGGAGCCCCATCAACCCACCCTCCCAACTGCCGTGATACTCATCCTGTCTTGTAACATCGTGTGAGAGTTTCCAAGGATAAAACCAAAAAAAAGCTCGGTGCCTTTTCACAACTACTGATCCCTCCTCCCTCCCCACCAAAAAGGGAACGAACGAGTCTCATAATGGAAAGGGAGAGGTGATGTGGCATGACACGCATCCTGAGGGAAATCCCGCTTCTCGAAACAAGACATTGGCCCTCCCTCTTTCCTCGACTCAAGAGAGAGGAGGAAAGTCCCGCCCTAGTATGGTGGTCCCTTGTATCGTGAACTTGTTGAAAATTAGAAACTAGTTGGACGTTTACCAACTACCCATAACCAGCCGCCCTTGCGAAATTCAAGCATCGGCCCCCCCTTCCCTTCATTCGCATTAGTAAGTAGGTAGATTTCGCAGTAGTGTCACGAGAAGAAGAGTAAAAAACAACAAGCCTTTTTGACACCTAGCCAAGTTTCCCAAGCACAATATTCACACAAACTTCTCAACTTTGATCCTCGTCATTGTCATCTAAAAGATGTGCAACCTTACCACCACATCCTCACATCCTTCACAACACATCCCTACTATACCGCCCAGACAAAAAAAATCCCATCGCGTGACATAATCTTTCCCCCTTCATCCTTCTTCCTTCTAGAAGGAAAGAAGAAGAAAAAACACCCCAAGCCCATCAATACCCAGTCTGATGACCAAGCAAAGCAAGTAAGCACACACGACTCAAACCCCACCCCCCCCCCCCCCAGGTTTATACGCCCAATGTTACCGGAGAAATTTTAAATTCTTCCCTTTTCCAGCTAAACCAAGCAAAGAAAAGAAAACTATGCTAAGTTAGCCATAACTATACTATTACAACACGCTAAAACAAAATGCTAACTACTCATCGCTCTCATCCCTCCGGCTCGTCTGTGTCTGTGTGTACACACTACTTTGTGCGACTCATGGGGAAAACCCTTAACCCTTTTCTGTTCCCTTCTAACGGCCATTCTTCGTTTCTCTTCTTGTTTTCTCGGCCGAGAAGGGAAGGGGTGTGTGTGTATGTGTGTGCACGCATGCATCATTATCATCATCATCATCATCATCATCATCATCATTCCCCCCCCCAGTCAGCCCTGTTCCTGTAAGGATGGTTGCAAAGAAAAAAGCGTGTGCATGGTTCTTCCCTCCCATGCTTCCATTAAAAAAAAGCCGGTAGTACTAGCGAAGAATCTCTTGTCAACAGACCTGTTCGCTGTGCCTTAGCCCCCCCCTTAGGCGCGTCTTTACGGCCCGCGGCGTAAAACCCTCGCGGCGTTTAGACCAGCGTAAGCAAACGCAACGGTTTAGGGCTGGCGGACTACCGTATGTAAGATGAGGGGAAGGGAGGGGGCGGGTGAGATGGGTGAATGGCCAGAGAAAGGGACGGGGATGGGGAGACCAAGGCAAGGACGCTTGCACCTTGTTTAGCGGCAGCTGGGAACGGGAAGGAGAGATGGGAGGAGGGTGAGTGATCAGCGAGATCTTACTATGCGCACGACTGGCCTAGGACGGGAAGGGGTTAGAGCGATGGTCTGGGGTTTTTTAGGGGGGTTCGATACGTGGAGGTGTGGGATGGAGGTGAAGGATCGAGAAGGTTTGAGTATAGTGTACTACTACACCGCTAGTGCGTACTGCGAATGAAGCGGGGGGTTTTTTTTTGCTGGTGGTGATGTTTGTTGCGCGTACCTATGAGGAGATTAATCGAGCAGGGCTATTTGCCTTATTTTTTATTTATTTCGGGGCGATAGTTGCGACAAAACAATCAGTGCCCGCTTGATGCGTGTGCGTTTTTTTTTATTTTCTATCCTTGTCTCTTTTAAGACTGTTAGTGTTTTGGTGTTGGGGTTTATTGTCTCGTGTTCTTCTTCTGTGATTTTCTCGAATGTGGTTAGGGAAACTGATTCAGGGTGCAGATCCTTAGTCTAGTACAGTCCTTTTCCTCGGCTTTCGGGAGACCGAAATAGCCGGATTAGAAAATGCTTCCCCCTTCTCGGTGAAGTCGGAAGGAAAATATCATTGCTCCGAGGGTACGTGTAAAGCTTGCTTGAAGCCTTGGTTGCTGCTGCAATGCCAGTAGTAATATTTTACTTAATATGTAATTTGTTGTGATAAATGCAGAGCTAGCGTGTACATCTTGTTGAGTTTTTGTTTGTAATGATATCATAGTTGTGCTGATATTTCGTAGTAAGGGTGGCTTACTTTGGAGGGCTAGGGCTAACTAGCCCTCTCGGTCTTGGTAATCCAGTTTCCCGAGTTGACCGAGAGCCCTACCATAACAGTGCAATTACGCAATCAAGTTAACACCGCGCACTGATGCCTACGTAGATGTTCAAAACACACAAACAAGCAATAATTTACTTTGTAAGAATTCTCGATATCCTACAGAATTCATACCGTTCTGTGCAGTGATTTAGGGTGTGATTTGGGTTGATGTTAAGTGTAATCTTTATCCGGCTACTGTGTCGGTGTCGGTATACCGAAAGCTTGATTGTCATATGTACATATGCCTGCTGTTCATCTCTCCCTATGCCTGTATGTCTTTCTCGCTAGTTTAGTTACAGCCACAAAGACGGGCTCGGAGGCATGTATGTGCATAGTCTTCCCGAAGGATTGACATTGATGCATACATACGTATCGGCCACGTGAGGCCCTTCCATTTTTGTTCTTTTTGCACTGCCTCAAACTACCATACGCCCAGCCGTGCGATCCGACTTACGGAAATTTGCAAAGGCATTGTTGTTCCGCTCTGGTGCTGCGTTGTCTGAGTTTTCCGCTTCTCTGCCTTTTCTTGGAACTTGCACTGCCTACTGCGATACGTTGGGAACCAGCACTGCCAAGCCTTAATACTCAAGACAAATCGTCGTTGCGTTGTTGTTGTCGTTGATGTTCGTTATGCTTAGCCACTCCTAAGATGACGCACAGAAGTTTCGGTGCCCTGTCCAAGACACATCTAAGCCCCCATCCCCCTTCACTTTTTCCCCTTCACTTTTTCCCCTTGGTGATCGCGATCGCGATCGCGATTTGGAGATTGCATCGATGTCGCATATAATATTTTAGGTGGGTTTGGATTGCACAAGTCAATAAGGCCGTTCTCCCGCAACGGCATGATATATGCGCCTATCCTTATCTGTCCGCATCTTTCCACCTGCCTTGTTATTTTCGTGCTTTGTGAGTAGCTGAATTAATTACTTGATAGACTTGTGCACGTAGATGTGGACGTATTTCGATATAGACGTACGTACCCACACGCGGTCGTTTACCCCTATACACCCTTGGAAGTTACCAAATAGGCGCTTTATTACAATACACAGTAGTTGCGAAGTCGTGCCTCAGCCCCCCGCGTAACCTGCCTTTTTTGCGAGAGAGGGAGATGGTCTTTGGTGTTTTTTGCCACCCCGAAACTTCGTATCTATCCCACATGTTTTGCCCTGCGTTTGCCCCACACGCATGGTTGACATCTTCGAGATGCAAAGGAGGTGGGGCAGTACCTGCATGTCGTGTCGGGGTTGCGCATGCACGGTGGGGTGCGGATCAGCGTGGTAGTGAGGCTAGATGTAATAGTACATTTGGCTGAGGAAAGATGGGCGAGGTGTCTGGGTAGGGAAAAAGGAGCTGTTGACTAGATTCGGGGATTGAGGATGCGGAGGTGTGGATCTCGGGATATGTGTGTGTAAGTCCTGGTCGCTATTGCATGTAGAAAATACTAGGTTGTTCGACTTGCTCGGAATTATGTTTAAGGTAATTTGAAGGTCAAGTAGGTAGGTTTGCCAGTGCAGTGATACGTGGCTTTCTTGTGCATAGATTAGAGGTGATTTAGAGTCTCTGTCGTTTTTGGAATCTCAGTCGACAATGAATGCTTGAGATACCTTCAGTGACCCCCTTCGTTATTAGAACAGTACATGGTTGTATAGCTGCTATCTATTACCGTCATGTAATCTTGTCTATGTCTATTGCGTGACTAGTTTTTCTCATATTGAGCGTGGTTGTACTATGCGACTATGGCTTTGTTGCTGAGTGCGGAGCATGACAGTAGAATGCATAAACTCACTGCCTTCACATGAGGGCGGTGTTTTTAGAATTAATTACATACTTTAATAAATTTCTTTTGTAACTTTGGGCATTTATTTTATGCCGAGTCGTCTTTTCTAAATGTGTTGTGGAATGATTGGATTCATGTTACAACCACCATCCGTGGGGTGTAGCATTCACAAAACCCACCATCCGCGTTGTTTATGTTATATAACACTGTTACATAGGCGTGGCAATAATAATAAATTGAAGAGTGACATTCGTGAGTACCCAAGTACATGTATATCAAGTCTGGACAGTGACAATGATTTTTTGACAAGTCATCATGGCTTTTTAGTAAGTCAATATATTCCAACACAGAAACCAGACAACTGCCCCCATAACCTACACCCATCTATTCGCTACTTCCAGCTTCCTCAAGTATTTTTTTCAATACCAAAACATACTAGTATAAACCCGAACAAGTGGTCTACGTAGAGTGGTCTCATCACGCCCATACCTACAACAAACTACAACCAACACTGCGCATTCTCCACTCAACAAAATCCCACCAGCCCACCAATCGCCGTAAATACCCATCTTCATTATAAAAAAAGACCAACCCTTACAAAACCCGACAGCCGAGACACTAACGCCAGACTGGACGCCTGAGCTGAACGCCTGAGCTGAACCGACAAAAAAGCTGCCGACAAGAAACACATTCTTGCGCACATTCTCCACACAGCCCCGCTCCGCAGCAAGCGCTGGTGGCTTGATTCTATTTCCCTTCTGTTCTTCTTTCTCGTGCACTAAAGAGCGGCGCGTGCACATGTGGGTAACACGTAGTTTTTTTTTGCTTTGCATCCCCCCATGGACTTTAGCCCGCAATTGCGCAATCCGCCCTCACCTACGTATACGTATTTGCTTTTTCTTTCTTAGATCTCCACAGATTTTTTTTAATTCCCGGGACGCGTTTGCACTTGCATTAGCGAGAGAGTAAAAGGAAAAAAGAAAAGAAGAAAAATACCGGAAGCACTTGTTCAGTATCGGAAACGGTCTAAACTGAGCCCCAGTCTTCTACGTACGCCATCGTACTTTTTTCCCTGTTAGGCAGGGGATTTTACGATTCTTTTCGGAGTCCGCTGGATAATTTTCTGCCTACGACTGAGTCGGGGAAGGATGGTAATGTGGAAACTCGTGTATGCCTCTTCCCTCCCCTTCTCCAAGTAAAAGAATGTCTTCACTTCCCTTCAATACTAAACGCGAACACCCCATCCAAACATCACATGCCCCCCTCACCCCCCAAATCTCCAAGTAAATCGTTGCACCACTCCCACGACAGCGGAAACCCTCGCATAGCATATCCACGAGGCCTCATGTTTGAGATATGTGCGACGAGGGGAGTCACATGCCGGCATGTCAGATGGGTAGTACAGATGAAGCGGAGGGGGATGATGTTGCGAGTTGCATATGCTGTGTAATCGGAGGACAGCGTACTGGGGTTGGTAGGGATATAGAGGTCGGGTTTGGTCGGGTGAGTAGGGCTGGGAGGGTGGTAATAGGTGGGTATAGTAGTAGTGGGTGTGATGTGGGGCGTGAACGCAGGGTGGTAGCACAGTATCCGAGCTATTACATGTAGTCTTAGTTTTCTCTAAACGGTAGATGTATAGCAGGGTGTCCCTGGGTGAAAACTAGCTCATATGACATCCATGTGCATTTCACACGGACTGCCTTCCAACTTGTCCTTGCGTCTCTCCACCCGAAATGCATTTCTTAGATCCACACCGACGACGCCCGCGGGCCACTCGATCAAGCTCCAGTTTTCGCGACCAAGAGCCATTGCTACGGCTGTGACGATGTCGGCTCCTAGCCCTTCGAGCCACCATACGTTTCGGACTCTGCCTGGTAAAATGGCGTAGTGTGCGAGAATGACGAGTGCATGTGTGTTCTTGGACTCGACGAGGTTGATAAACTCTCGTGGTATGCGAGCCGCCCAGACGAAGATTGCGCCGCGATCTGTAAGGGTGGAGATGGTGTTGTCGTCGATCGAATATGGAACTGCCGACATTGGAGGGAAACGTTCGGGTAGTGTCAACTGACTAATCAAGTTGAAGCTTTGGCGAAGGTAGAGTAGTGCTTGAGAAAGGTAGACGCAGTGCAGTCCCAATGGTTCCTCTCCACCCACCCATAACTTCTCAATCTCCTGTAGGCGTTTATCTTCCAAGACTGCGCGCGGTGTTGCAGAAATATTGTATTCTGGCCACCACTCTCGTGCAGTGACTGGATGCATTTTACTTCCCACCACCCAACTCCATCCTGATAATAGGACTGTTAGGGGACCGCGGAGTGCCCATATCGTGCGCAATGCACATGATAGCATCTTGTCGACTATCTCTGGTGACGGTGTGGTCGCATCTGGTGGGATTGAAGCACGGAGGTTCTCAATGTCGATGGCTGATGTGCGAAAAAGATATACAGCCGTGAATGTTGAGCTA